TGCACGTATATGGCCTCCACTTTTGTTGGTATAGGCCTTTTTTTTGCATTCTATACGATTTGTTTGTTTGTATATATGTTTGTATATCACAGAAACAACTTTAAATATACGTACATTCTGGTTATCTGGGTAGCCATCAAACATCAAACTTCTCTGGAAACAGAGAAGCTACTTTGGACACGGGGTAAATTTTCAGTTTTTTGTTGCTATTTTAATAGACAAAATTAATCAACATCATAAACTCCATCCAAAAATAAACAACCTGTACAAAATTAAAAGTCAGATCAGTCAAATTACTACATCAACTCTTCTAAAGATTTTTCATTTAAATAATTCTCTTTACCTGTACATGACTTTATATACACAATTTTCACATAAAGGGCGAACACGAAATTATTGCGACACATTCAACAGGGCATAACTTTTTTACCATTGCGTAAAAATCAACCAAATTTTGCACACTTTCTCATTGATGTGTATTGTGTACATGCTGTCAAACTCAAAGTCGTGTTTTTCGATTCAACGAAAATGGAGGTGAACCAACGCGAGTTGAGAGAACAAATTCTTTCCAAACACCTGGAATTTCCTGACCTGTCGCACCGGCAGTTGGGAAAAATGTTGAACATTCACCATTCAACCGTCTCCAGAGTGTTGAAGCGGTTGACGTTGGACCACGGCAAAGGAGCTGGAAGAAAACAGGGACCGGAGAACAAAACGACGGAGGGAAAGGTGAAGCGGATGATTAAAGCAAATCCCAACGTCTCAAGTCGTGATTTGGCTAAAAAGATCGGAATGTCGCAGAGCTACGTCCAGAATGCAAAGAAGAGAGCTGGACTACATACATACAAGGTACAGAACTTCCCAAACCGCGATGAGCGGCAACAATCGACGGCTAAAACTCGGGCACGGAAGCTCTACGAGAAGATGCTGACAAAATATGGCTGCTGTGTGATGGACGACGAAACGTATATAAAAGCCGATTTTAAGCAAATTCCGGGGTTGGAGTTTTTCACCGGCAAGAGCAAGTTCGATGTGGACGACAAATTTAAGAAGAAGAAAATGTCGAAGTTCGCCTCCAAATATCTCATTTGGCAGGCCATCTGCTCTTGCGGACTGAGGAGTGAGTCTTTCGTGACAAAGGGCACAGTAAATGGCGAGATCTACAAATCTGAGTGCCTCGAGAAGCGCATTTTGCCGTTCTTGCAGCAGCACGACGAAGCTCTGCTATTTTGGCCAGATTTGGCATCATGCCACTATTCTAAAAGTGTCCTGGAGTGGTATGAGGCCAATTCTGTCCATTTTGTTCCAAAGGACATGAATCCGCCAAACTGTCCGGAGCTGCGCCCGGCCCCAGTACTGGGCAATAATGAACCGGGAACTTTGGAAGAGCAAGAAGACAGTCAAAGACGAGAAGGACATGTTAAGAAAATGGAAAAAAAAACTGAGGGCATCAAGCGAAAATGCGTTCAATTTTTCACTCAAGGCTCCATCGATTAACTTTTCTTTTGATTTTTGAAGTAAATATATGTATAAAACTACCCTAAAATTTTGGTTTGATTCTAAACATTATAAGAAAATTGGCATGACATTTTCGGTGTCGCAATAATTTCGTGTTCGCCCTTTAGAATATCAAGCGCTATTCAGTATAATAAATGCTTATCAACTCCCGAGAAGAGCTTGTGAATATTTTTACGTGTTTCAACAACGGTTTTGGGTCATATTTTAAGCAGGTACACTTTTTATAAAACTCGTTGGTAAACTTTTCCGCTTAATTCTGAGAAGTGCTTAATGATATTTGCTAAGGGTTTCATATGCTCGAGAATACTGCAGTCCTAGTAGCAACTTGTGGATAAACATTCAATCGATTATTTAATCTACTTCATTTGGTTCAACAAATTCGAATGTTTCCAAAGTAGCCCCTCGAATCAAAAGTGCACGACGGTATAACATACATTTTAGACATTACCACCTTAGAATGCCATTTTAATTTGCATGTAAAAGCTTCGATGACTGCACCTCCGCTTTACAAAAGTTGAACACATTTCTCCTCTTGTGCCATTTGCAAAATGCAATCAGTAGGGAAATAATCCATTAGTTGTAGGCGCCATTTCCGCACCATTTGTCGTAGCTACATTTGTATATGTATGCAATCATCATCATCATCATCATCATCCCCCATCATCAGTGCACCAATCTAGATGATTCAATTGAGTCGAGCGGTGGTTCGGAAATTAGAAGAGCACTTCCACATGCTCGTATAAATTGCAATGTTGTTAAGTACGGTCCTCCTAAGGTACTTACTCTGGATCTAAGGCAAAAAAGTAGCACAAAGCGCGGTATATGTATTGTATAGGCAATAATGATAGGAATCGAGAGTAATTTCGTCGGAAGGGCTTCCCATCCTAAGGGGGTCGATGACTTTTACGTCTTACGATTTGTCGACATACTGGAATGCGTAGGTGTAGGCAACGTCAATGCGCCAATTCATATTCATAAATGTATCGCCGCGTGGTTTTGTCAGTGATTTAAAAACGCATTTTCGTCGATTCGTCTAAATTGAATGTTAATCAGTTTTATGCGTCTTTTGTGCTCCAATTTGTGTCATCTCCGTTCATCATCCTATTTTTGCTTTGAATTTATTTTTATATTACATTTGGCATTGTCAGATAAAAAAAAAGCGGGGCCAGTCAATGCCTAGACAGATACACATTCCGTTTTCATTCGGACACAACTCCCTGCGTCTTTCGGTGAAGGGAGAGTTGTCGAAAATATCTTCACCTTCTTATCGGCTCTCAGGTTACGATGCGTTAGGGTGCCAATGAAAAAAATTATAACCATATACAAAATGTTTATTGTCTCGAAAAAAGAACATATCAGGCATAACATTTGATAATGGCACAAAAGCATTTGTAAACACACTTTCTAAGGTCCTTTACACACGAACCAAAGTACGCCCACGCAAACCAATATCACTTTTGGAAAGGTGATAGTTGCCCCTATCCGATGATGTTCGCGTGTAAAGGGCTTTAGAAAGAATGTTTACAAATGTTTTTGTGCCGTTATTAAATGTTATGCCTGATATGTAAAATTTAGGCTCAATCGGACATGATTTGGGTTGACGCAAACTCGTCAAAGTTTAAACTTTTTTCTCTGAGGGTGGATATATGCAATTTAGTAAATCGATTTTTTTTTATGCCGTATGACTTAAACTGGCTGTAATCGCAAGTCAGTCCCATCTGCATTTAAATCAATTTTGAGATAGCATCATTATTCAGTTTATCTTTCTATGTTTTTGAGATGCGCTATTGAAAAAAGGTGGTTTGTTCAAGAAAAATGAAAAACAATACCAAGTCAAATTGTCTCACACCGAAAAGTAACCGCAAGTCAGTCCCATTAGAAAAAAATATGTTAGAAATGTTAAACAACACATCGCATCATGAGATTTGTCTCAAGACAGATTTTGTCCACTTCTTCTAGGGTATCTAGAACATGTCCTGATGTGGCCAATATAGTTCTTACGATACTCAGTTTGACCGCCAATGGATGGCTTTGAATTCTCATGTGATTTGATGTATCGCTTGATGGATTTTGATTTAAAAAGGATTTACCACTTCCCAGGGGATACCCGGAACATGTCCGGGTTTGGCCAACATGGTGCTGGTCACTGATCATGACTCTTATCGATCTTATTTTTGAATGCTTATGTGAATTATGTGAATACTCAATTGATTTATCGCATGGTGGGTTTGGCACGTTTATGAAAAGCTCTGGTCTGGTCTGGATCGTTACTCACCGGAATACGTTCTGGCCATTGCTCTGAAACCAGCAAAACAAATCCAGAAACATTAAATAACGTTCTATGGGACCATGGTATCTTTCTACTGTTCAATACTGTGCTAAACTAATGCAGCATCGTCATGGAATTGTAACTGACTTACGGTTATTTTTCTCATTGACGTTAAATGTAATCGCAAGTTAGTCCCATTCAGATTTTGGCCATAAAATAAAAATTTCACGATATTTTTTTCAATATTTTATGGTAAACATAGATGCATTCTATCACATTGTACGTTTATTTTTAAATTTATCCCTCCAAAATAAGTGTCAAATCAGAAAACCTGTAAAATCTTTGAACGCCGTTTCTCATTTCCAAATTTTTACAGATTGGACTGACTTGCGATTATGGGCAGTAAAGGTTCTTGAAACGTCGAGATCTATGTTAACTCGAAAACAATGTTTTGTCGAAAATCGAGTTTCAGGGGTGAATTTTCGGAAATCAATTTTTGTTATGCTAAATGACTTAAAAATGCTTGAAACGTCGAGATCTAGTCGTTATCTGTAAAAAACACTTTTTGTCAAAAATTGACTTTCCCTGAATGTTGATTCATGGCAAAACAAAATCGAGTTAACACTAGATCTCGACGTTTCATGCGTTTTTAAGTCATTTGGCTTCACAAACAATAAATCGATTTCTCATCATGTAATAAAAGTTTAATCTATGACGATTTTGCGACACCCCAAATCATGTACACATAAGCCCAAACTTTGCATAAGGTATTTTTTTTGTCGATGCAATGAACATTTTTTTATATGGTCGGATTGAAAAATTCCATGGTCACTTTTTTCCCACACATTTCATTGGCACCCTAACATGCGTGTCTCTATGTGTGTTCTACTTGAGTGTTGATGGAGGATCGGTCAGATGAGAAAGGCAAACAAAAGCTTCGTTAACGCATGCCATGTCGTCTACTATTGGAGGACCGTACAGATTCATTTGAGTTGGATTAAGTTGCCCGTTTATCTTGTTATACATTGATGATAGGTGTCGAATTCTATGTGTGTCAGTTAAGGTTAGGAATCGATTATTGGAAATCGATCGATGTAATGGATGTGGTTTTTCAAATCTAGCTTCGTATTTCTTTGTTCACTATTGTTGACCTTCCAAAGGATTGGTATCACGTGATAACATGCTTCTCTCGGTTTCTTTCAATCGACCACAGGTGACGATCATGAAGATTCGTTTCCGGAAATTCAACCGATGGATGATGAGGAGGACGACGAAGAGGAAGAGGAGGAAGATGATGAAGACAATGGAAACGAGTTCATCACCATTAACGTCACCAACGAACAGGGCGTGAACAAGGAGCTCGAACATATCAAGGAGAAGAAGTAAGTTGTCGAAACAAATATGGTAAATTAATAATATGATGACTGAATTTAACATATGATAAAAAAAATGCAATTTTGTAGCTTATTTGGAAGATACCTTGAGTTAGTAGTAAGTTTTCTGGCAAATGTTGGGGGTTCGTGAGCATTCCTGACATTGCTGAAAATTATTATTGCGGGGTTGTTAGTGTAATAGGATGCTTTGTTGATTGTTCATTAACTCTTGATTGCTTGTAATACTTATGAATATTTTAGGTGGACAAAAAGGCGATCTAAGAAGTGGATGCCTAAGCTTTTTCACATTTATATCGCTGTGAAGCAACTGTAAGCTCTAGATGGAATTTATATCTGTAACTGTAACCAGTTCGATTTTGTTTGCAAACCTGGTTAAATTGTCACATTTAATTATCTTAAAGATAAATCGTCCAGCTCAAACCTTTGGGGTAAGAGGTAGGACCATCATCATCATCATATGGTCCACTACTAGAATTCCCAAAATTTCTGAAAAGACGCAACAGTAATACCAACCGGTGGAAACTAACGATTTTAAATTGGCTCACTACTTGACTAGTCTATTGGTCCCTCCCAAGCAAATCGATTAACGATGGGATACGTCTAGTCGAAATTCTAGTACTAAACTATGTTTGTTTTGATTGGCTATGAAAGTTTGACAGATAAAATGAGGGGCTCGTGGATTTTCCTATGTTTCGAGGGGTGCATCGATTAGCTTGGGACCGAAGAGAGTACCAGGGATGAGCCAAAAAGATGAGTACGTTTCTTTGGGACCTTCTTGTCTTAGAGTTACCTCAATGGTTGTACCGTCTTCTCCCGTCAATTTTTTTTTCAACTTCTCCCGGAATATTGTACTTACTTTGTCTAGAAGATTCTACCGATTTTCTTCGGAATTTTCTCTCGATATCCCCCAGAAAGCTCTTTCTCGACTGTCCCGAAAACCTTCTGACTTTCGCCGGAATAATCTACCAACTTTCTTTAGAAACAGGAAGTTTCTTTACCTTTACTTCTACCGAACGTATCTACACGGAGAAACAATACTACCCAAAATTTGAGTTCTTTTTACTTAACATTGAGTTCAGCCTCTCACTTGCACTCGTTATTGTTGTCAAAAAAGGAACGAGAGATTCGACCTAACGATATAGTTCAGCCCAATAAGTTACTTTTGAGTAAATTGCATATTGTCAAATTTACGTGAATTAAACTTAATGTTGGGTAGAATATACTTAAGAGTAGGTATTTTTTTCTTGCTGGTTTTGGGGGAGGTAGCTCATCGATTCTTCCGGTTCACCTCCTAGCATCGTGCTATAAGGTACCAGGCGATAACCAGGGTAGTTGATCGATAGCTCGATGACGTCATTTCGTTGGCGTCTGCAATGGGAAATTCTCATAGCAGGCGTTGACGATGGGACGTTGTCGAGTTGTTGAATAGCAACTATCGTGGAAAATCACCGATTACCTGTCGATCTGCCAAATTTGGAAAGACGTCTGCATTGAATTGTCTCACATAATAATATTCCGCCCACTATATCACAAGAAATTGCGAGTAGCTGAGTGGAATGGAGATAAGTTAAGCATTGGGTACAGGACCAAGTCTCCCCTAGGTGGTGCCAGAAGATGAGCGCAATAGAATCATCAAGTTGCCATAAGGCACGGAATGAGACTATTGCATGGCTGGGTAGTCAAAGTCTTCCATTCGTTAGTCATTTCAGGTGGATTAGAACAGGTTTAGGTTTAGGGTGGGCGTTGGCCAGATTTGGTTTCCTAAATAGGACCTAGATTATTTAATACACTAGTAACCTCAACTTCTGTCACAATGTTTCATTGTGACTAATCAACACTCAATGGGTAAAATATCAAATTTGCGGTAAATTTGAAAAAAAGGGTACTTGGAGTGTAGAGCGCACTGTCCACTGGACGATTCTGAAGCCTGACCAAGTGAGTGGGTTACGGGTTTATTTGATTGTACGTCATTTCCAAGTTATATATAGGTACATTCATACCATTGGCATTTTGTATTTGAGATAAGACAGAGACAAGATGCGGAGGGCCCGCTTAGGGGGAGCGTAACCCATGTTATGGCTTCAATTTATTAAATAGTTCAGATAGGCTGGAAATGATAGGTTCATGGTGAGAAAATGTACCATATGGTGCCCGTTCACTGATCAAAATTAGATTCAAATCGTCAGGCCCTGCCCTGGAATAATGGGATTGACGATGATTTGTCAAGTTTCATTTTGCAATTGCATATAATTGTAAGTTTAGGTTTGCTTTTGTAATTGTAAGATACATAGTTTGCCTCAATTGAAACATTGAGTTGTATAAACTTGACGAGTCATACCTCTAAAATAGTACTAGTTACAGTGCCGCATTATCTAACAACCACTGCCTACAACTAATGTTGGAGGGGTCGGCAGGGCTGATCAAAACTAACATAACTCTAACACTGAAATGATCCCGAAACTAACGCTCATTCATTGCACTTTGAGTCATAAAGTAGTTTTATTTATTTTCCTACTAATCTATCTACACACTTAGTTTTTTCTACCGAGTTCGGCTGTGCGGGTCTCGGCGGGGAGGGTTTCGCTGAGATCTCGGCGGGAGTGACATTTGATTGAGGTCTCGGATAATGCCTTTTCTAATAATCTGCCTACGTTTCTTTTCTTTGTTATCTACTTTATCCCCTTTTTTTATTTTTCTGCTCTTCTTTCCTCTTCTCTTCTTTTGTTTTGTTTGTTTACATATAACTAATACTAATACCTCCTTGTTTTCTCTCTTGTTTTCTCTCTTGTTTTCTCTCTAATTTGTCTACTATGTTCCACCATCACGATGAGAGATGAGCTACCGTACATGGTACACGCTCATATACACTCCCAAAATAGTATGCCGCAAGTAAGTATATCACAGAGGCAACTAAAGATCCAGAAACAAAAACCGATAACGCTTAAGATAATGAGCTGTGGTGATTTATATGACTAGGCGAGGTAGGCGACGATTGTGCGTATTTCTCGCGTAACTTTTGAAAAGGGCCCATTTATAGCCTGAATAATACGTAAAGAGCATTAAAGGTCGCGTGAAAAAGGAACTTAATGAAGGCCTAAGTACTTTTTCGTAGTTTTCAGTTTTCGGACTTGAGATATCGTCGGTAACAGTGGCCTGCTTACTGAGCAGAAAAACGCGGTCCCAGGTCCTTACATATCAAAGAGATTTATGGTAAAATCGCTTGTGTATCGTGTATTTTGCGAAACTCGTTTTTGTCGTTGGTTCCGGGTTTGAATGGATACACAAATTTGAGCAACGGTATTATGTGATATGAGGGGCTCGTTTTTGCTTACTGAGCAGAACATCATGAGTCTAATCTCAGGCCCATCCACATTCAAGATTCGTCAATCCTTTTATTTGTTAATATGACTACATGGTAATAACAGCAACTCGGTGATTAAAAAGGTGCTCGTCTGCCTAGTGGCAAACGTTTTTGCTTACTGAGCAGAAGACCGTGGGTTTAGTCCCTAGCTCCTTTGCGTTATATGATCGTTAGGACATCAATTCAGTTTATCGTTTACCAAAACGAACCCTGCTGCAAACCCAACCCTCTTATCCAACATCCCAGTGATTCCTCGTGGAAGTGCAGAGGTGTTCTCGGCTTCCATCAAAGCGAGTGTCATGTCAACACAATCCTTTCCATTCCTTTCTTGACCTGTGTTCGGGCGCGGCCGGCGCTGGTATTGCCTAATTTAAGATCACCAGTTTTTACACATTGAGGATGATTGCTAGTCCCAAGCATCGTCTATTGGTTCTCTGTGTAATTACAGCTGATCTGGCAGTAACAGAGTAGCAACCGTGGGCGGTCAATCAAGCTCAAGCTCAAGCTCAAGGTATTTTTTTCTTGCTGGTTTTAAATGGAAACAACTATATGCGATTTACTCAAATTTGGGTTATTAGGCTGAACCCCGGAATTGAGGGAGAAGTACTTAATTTTGGGTAGTTTTTCATCTCCGTGTACCAAATTTTCCCAAAAGTTTCTTTCGTCTTGCTCTGGAAGTTTCTACATGAGCTTCTTGCGGAGGTTTTTTTCCGACTTCTTTTGGAAGGTTTTTCCGAGCCTCTTATAGCTTCTCTTGGAAATGGCTACTCCTTGAATTTTCTTCCAATTTCCTAACCATTCTGGCTTACTCTGGATGTATCATCCAATTTTATCCGAAATTTTTTATAAATTTTCTCCAGAAGTTTCTCAATAATTTTCTTGGAAGATTCTTGAATGTTTTTCCGACTTTTCTTAGAACTATCTTCAAACGTGCTCCAAAATGACCTATTTCTTCTTTTACTGCAAGTTTTTTTTTCGGTTTGCTTCAGTTTTATTTATTCATAAATCATGTAAAGAGCAGAAACTGGGCAAAATTGGGTTGTTTAGGGGTATTGAGGTAAATACATATTCGTTTTTTACATTAAAAATGGAACCGAAATCCAAAATTTCATCAATTTTGGTACACTTGAACTATCTTAAATAAGTACGATTACATTAGCAAAAATCACAATCTTAGCGCCCCTTGGTGGGACTTTGTATGGGAGCGAGTTGTCAACGAATAGATTAAGTATCAACGATCAAAAATTTAAATCTTGATTTTAAAATCGAGATGAATGTCTATGGGATCCATAAAAATATCGTTGTGCTCAGAAACGAAGCTCCATCAGATGATGTATAAAAATTTGTATATCTTTCGAAATTAAACAACCCAATTGCCTCATGTTTTTCCAGGTTTGTCCAGGATAAAAATCCCGAATATGAGAAAAGTAAAGATTGGATCCACTCAGTTTATTGGTACTACCATAGAGGTAACTCTAAGACTAGAAGGTTCCGAAATAACGTGTTCAACTTTTTGGCTCAGCTCTCGTACTCTCTTCAGTCCCAAGCTAATCGATTCACCACTCGAAACATAGGAAAATTCACTAATCCTTCATTTTATCTGTCAAACTTTCATAGCAAATCAAAA